TGTGTGCCTCCATTCCTCTTCATTTGATACATACTTCTGTTTAAGTAAATTAGTATTCATTTAAAAGTCTTTGTCTTTTTATCTGCTTCCTCCATTAAGCAATGCATTCCACAAAGGGAAGAATCTTATCTCATTGATTTTTGTATCCTTAACAATAATCATAATGCTTTGTAGGTGTGAGAAAGTAATTGTTGAATAAAGAGAACCTAGAGGAAAAAAATTCTGAGGAAAAATAAATTTGGATTTTTAAGGATAATAATTTATCCCATTATAATGCGAATAACATTTAAAATTTTATTGCATGTAACTCAGATTTTTATGATTCCCTTTCCTGTGCCATATTAGTTTTTTTCTTCTTCATTATTTCAGCTATTTGATTCAGTTAGGCAATTTTCCTCATATTCTTCTACTTTTTACTGTTTCATTCATAAGGAAAATGGAAAAATTAGTTTATATTATTCTTTTAATATCTTATGTTATGCCAAAATATTCATATAAAAGGTATTCTATATCCCCAGAATTATCTTTATCTTATTTATTCTTTTATGTTAAGATAATTGGGTCTTAATCCAAGCCAGTCTTGGAAAATGTCCTAAACATTAATATTCTGACATAAAAACCAACAACAAAAGAAAAACTAAGATTCTAAGAACTGGATCAGAATACCCATCAGCACACATCCCAGATGGAGATCACTTGTTTTACTACAGAGTTGGGAGGTGGGTGGTCTTTAAATTAAGAAATAGCTTAGCAAAAGAGATAACCAGGCTGCTGCCAGGAATTAAAAAAAAAAAGAGGTAGAAGAATAATGAAGAAAAGCCTAAAAAGCAATGCACCTAACAGATCCACAAAGTAGTTTAGTTGACTGAAAACCAACAAGCCAACTAGCCAATCATTCCTTATGCTCAAGTCCACACATGTAGGGGACTGCGCATGCATGCATATACACACACACACACACACACACACACACACACACACTACTGTTCTTACTTCTATCCAACAAGAGGTATATCAACATCAAATTTCCCTTTTAGCTTTGGCTAATAGAAAAGCCTGAGGAAAATTTAATGTTCCAGTTTACTAATTACATTCATGGGTATTTGGGAGATAATTATTCTAGGCCCTTTCAATATTTTAGTTTTCAACTTACTTCTTATATGATTTGATTGTGTTTACCCATTAACAGAATAAAACAAAGCATTAATAGGAATTTGAGTAATGCAGTGGCATTTCTCAATAGTTAATAGAGCTTGTTTTTTAATCCTTCACCCAAAATTTGTACTACCAAAGGACACTCAAAGAATAAGTACTTGATGCACAAAGTATGAGGAGTAAAAGAAGACTTGGTCCAGGAAGTGATTAATATAATAACAATGGCTATTGCTGTTATTTATTTATTGAATTGTAATTTATTTTGACATACAATAAATTATAATTACTATTCATTCAAATATATATTATTTTAATAACTAGATTCCCTTTACAGGTAGGGAATGGCTTTGGAAAGTTACATTATTAAGTCCTTGAGTTGTAATAGCTAGTTTTAAAAAAGAAACAGTTAGCCCTAGCTGGTTTTGCTCAGTGGATAGAGCATCAGCCTGCACACTGAAGAGTCCAGGATTCAATTTCAGTCAAGGACACGTACCTTATTTGCAGGTTCCATCGGGCCCTGATAGGAGCATGCATGAGGGGCAACAAATCACTGTGTCTCTTTCACATTGATGTCTTTCTCTCTCTTTGTCTCTCCCTCTGAATTCTACTCTCTAAAAATAAATGGGAAAATATCCTTGGGTGAGGATTAACAAAAAGAAAAAACAAACAAAAACAAAAAAACACAACAGATAAACTACTCTATGCTGTTAATAAGAAAAAATAAAACAAGATTTCAGGGTGTGGCAAGAACAAGATAGAGAGAAGAGGAAAGAGGATTATAGAGAAATTCATTAGGATGTTATTATCCATAAGGTCTTTTAAAAACATGGATATCTGATATTTCATTTGAAGTTTGGGATGTTATAATGATGTAAACTCCCACACTTTCTCCCTGATGCCCTCAGTGAGTCTACTTTCATATAAATTTCTTTGCATAGTGCTATGTTGTTCTTTTATTTTTCATTTTGTTTTGTTGATGTTGGGTGGTAAAGAGTCAGTCTAGGGAATTCTGTTGATGCTTGGGTTGAGGTATTGAAATAGGGTTATAGAAGGAAGAGTAGAAACATTATCCATACAGTGAACTAATTTGGTGCTTGTAATACGTAGCTTGGAGCCAGAATAAACCTAAAACCATAAATCCCTGAGATTATTACCTAAATCTGGAGAGGACCACTGACTTTTCCTGAGAGCAGAATGGAATTCAATCTACCTAAAGGATGCTAAAAACCCCATCTAGTCTCTAATCATACATTTTGCCTCATATCCTTTTTAGAATAAGGTGCATATATTTAAAATATTTGTTTTTGATATACATATAAACTTGTATGAATAAGTGGGTTTAAAATAATGCAAGGGATGCAATGGATACCATCTAGCCACAGAAGACTTTACATGCAGGTTGTCATGTTCTGAATTTATATAAAATGACTTGTGATATTTAAAGTGAATACCAGCACCTGAAGGTAAATATAGAAAGGACCAGGAAGGTAAGAATGTATAAGCATTTAATAAACTTGTATGTGTCTATCTGGTTTTGTTGAAAATGTAAAGTTTAATCTTCACTGCATGCATGGTTCAATTGTTTTATTTAGAATATTTTATCTTATGTTTCCTTGGAGAAAAAGAAAGAATAGTAACAGTGAATCTACCTGCCACCAATAAATTTATAATCTATTTGGTGAGATGCGATTTATGGACATAAAATACTGTGAATTGCTTTAAAGCTTATGGAACATTTTTTTTAACACATTACCTCATTTATCCTTATAATGATCCAATGAATTTGGGAAAAAGGTCACTGTTCATTATTTCCAATTAGAGATAAGACAACCAAAGTGCTGAGAAAAAACTGATGTAAATATGACTACAGAGGCATACTTCATAGTGCACACTATCCACACTCCTCTGAATAAAATAATTAGAATTTAATTATGTATAGAATATTATATGCATCCAATGGGTAATAAGCATAGTTAGACAAACACAACGACTGTAATTTTTAAACAATATTACATTATGATTTTCTGCTAAGAAATTAGCAAGACAGAAATAGCATGGTATGGATAATATAAATATCATATACTAAAGGCCTGGTGCATGAAATTTGTGCACTAGGGGTGGGGGGTTCCCTCAGCCCAACCTGCCTCCTCTCACTTACTGGGAGCCCTCAGGGGATGTTCTACTGACAGCTTAGGCCTGAGCCACATGGGCCCCGCAGTCTGGCCTCCCTTTGTGGGAGGCAACCAGGCTGATCAGGAGAAGGAACCAGCCCTATCACCTGCCCTGCAGCCACTGCCACCCAGCCACCAAGGTGTTTTCATCGACACAGACTCAAGTCCCTTCACCAAGAAAAAATGACAACTTTCTTTAGGCATTTTCAAGATGTGTCTTTCATAAGATATGCATTTCTTTCTTTTTTTTAATTCTCACCTGAGGATATGTTTTCATTGACTTTTAGAGAATGTAGAAGAGAAAGGGAAAGACAGAGAGAAACATCAAAGTGAGAGGAACATTTTGATTGGTTGCCTCCTGCATGAGCCCTGATCTGGGCCCCAGCCAGGATGGAGCCTGCAACCTAGATACATGACCTTGATCAGAATTGAACCCAGACCCTGCTGTCTGCAGGCTGAGGTATTATCCACTAAGTCAAACTGGCTAGGACAGGATATGACATTTCTTAGCCCTCCAGCAGCAGACCTTCATTTTTTTTCTCTAGAAGTGTGGTGGAAAAGCCCTAGATTACCATTTTGCATTCTTATTACCCAAGTTACTAAGAATATTACCAGTGGCATACAGGAAGCTTAGCCAATGTGCAGTCAGAAAAGGTGTTTCCTCTGCAGTTCACACCAATTGAGGGCTGGACCCTGCCCAGGCCTAAAGCCTCTGGCCAAAGCTTTAGGCCTGGGCAGGGTCCCTCCAGCTCCCTCTGATCACTGGCTCTGTCCCTGCCCAGGCCTGCCCTGGCAGAAAGCTTCTTGGGCAAGAGTGGATCCCCAGCTCCCTGCTGCAATCAATTGCAGTGGGTCTGCTCCTGCCCAGGCTGAAAGCAGACCCCCACCTTCCTCACCAGGAGATCGATCGCAGGAGGTCCACTCCTGCACCAGGCTGAAGCAACCTCCAGCTCCCTGTGATCAATTGAGGGTATCTGCTCTGGCACCAGACAAAGAGCCTCCAGCAGAGGTTTTCAGCCTGGTGCTGGAGCGGACCCCCAGCTCCCTGTGATCCATCGCAGGGGGTCCATTCTGAGCACCTATGTATACAAATTAACCACCATATTTTGGGTTAATTTGCATAGTCACTCTGATTGACTATAAGCATAGCGAAGGTATAGTCAATTTACATGTTTGTCTATTATTGGGTAAGATTTTTAAAATATATAAAACATCTCCATTTACTAAAAACTTATATAAACCTCTGAGTTTTTACCTATATAAGCCTCCAGTAAACTTACCTAATAATAGACAAACACAAATTGAATGTACCTCTGCTATGCCACCAGCCAATCAGGAGTGATATTCAAATTAACTCAACAGAGATGGTGGTTAATTTGCATACACAGGTACCAAGTGATGGGGTGTTCTGCTCCACCCCTGTCTCTCAGGGCATCTGGGCAATGTGGGAAGGTGGGACTCCCAGAGCAGAAAGAGGAGGCTTTGGGGCCTGAGTGGGCAGGGTCTGGGCCAGAGTGGTAAGGTGGTGCTGCCAGTCAGGGAAAGGGAAGCCCATTCTAGCACAAATCTTTGTACATTGGGCTCCTAGTATCTTATCTTATCTATTTTTTTACTGTACATGCTTTAGAAACACAAAACTGTAGCAACAAAGCTAACCCAAGAGTGAATTCTTACCTTGCAAATTTCAAGGAACTGCTCACTGGTATTTCTCATAGGATGCTCTGTGAAAGTAGCATAAGGCACCTCAGTGGACCATGGGTTCCAACGGGACAATAGAGACTGCTGCTGCAGGCTCCCCCAGTAGATCCTAAGGCCTTCTCCTTGTCTCCTACAAAATAAAAGAAGGGGGGGAAAGAGTTTCCCTTTATATTAGCCATTTCATTACATTAGAACAAAAAATAAAGGGTGGGAAAAGGTTGTACTATTTCAGTCAGCCTTTATATCATTGCTGAGAAAAGTGGCTTAACTATCAAACAGTTGAATTGTTCCAAAAATATCTTATCTAATATAAGAGTAATATGCAAATTAACTTTCACCCACAAGCCATGCCTACTAGTCATGCCCACCAGCCAATCAGAGGGAGTATGCAAATTAACCCCAACCAAGATGGTTGCAGCCAGAGAGAGTAGGAGGGAGGGTTGGGTTTCCCTGGCACTGGAGGAAGCCAAGCTTTCCACACACTCTGGCGGGCCCAGGCCTCCACTCAAGGGTACAAAGTTTTAATTATAGAAGGTAAATAAATTCCAGCAGAAATGGCAGCATTTCTGGAAGAGCAAGAGGCTAGGATTCCCCCAGGCTATGGAGGAAGCCAAGCTTCTATAGCCTTGGCCAGGCTACAAAGTTTCAATTATAGAAGAACATAAATTCCAACAGAAATGGAGCAAGCAGGAAGTTTAGCTCTGCTCTAAGCTACAAAGTTTCAGTTGTAGAAGATAAATAAATTCCAGATACCAGGGCCTCCACTTGGGTCGCTGGGTTTCGTGGCTGGCCTGCAAATCACCACAGCCCCTTGCACAGGCCACCTCATGCCCCAAGGGAACCCCCACCCTGATCCAGGACACCCTTCAGGGCAAATCAGCTGGCCCACACCCATGCACCAGGCCTCTATGCTATCTAATAAAATAATAATATGCAGATTGACCATCACTCCATCACACAAGATGGCTGCCCCTATGTGGCAAAGATCCTTCCCCCATGTGGACACAAGATGGCCACCACAAGGTGGCCAGCAGGGGAGGACAGTTGGGAGGGACCAGGCCTGCAAGAGAGGGCAGTTGTGGGCAATCAGGCAAGCGGGGGAGGGAAATTGGGAGGCACCAGGCCTTCAAGGGAGGGCAGTTGAGAGGGAAAAAGCCTGCAAGGGAGGGCAATTGGGGGTGACCAGGCTGGCAGAGGAGGGAAATTGGGGGCAAACAGGCTGGCAGGGGAGCAGTTAGACATCAATAAGGTTGGCATGGGAGTGATTAGGGGTGATCAGGCTGGCAGGTAGAAGTGGCCAGGGGCAATAAGGAAGGCAGGAAGGTGAGCAGTTGGGGCCAACAATCCTGGATTCTGAGAGGGATGTCCCATATTGTAGAGGGTACAGGCTGGGCTGATGGACCCCTTCCCTCCCATGCATAAATATCATGCACTGAGCCTCTTAGTAGAAGAATAAAAGAATGAATTTTTTTTCAAACAGATGATTTCAAAGTGTGGTTGAGAATTCTATGTGGAAATGCCTGGTTGGACAGATGTCAAGGATAGACATTTGAACATTGACCTCATGCCAACATGGTAAGACTTAAAAGAGAAAGGAAGAAGGAAGAGTTAAGTTATTGGGACAGAAACTGAGACAGTAAAGGTGGGAGATGATTTCAAAGAAAAAAGAAATGACAAAGATTTCCACAGAGCCATAAATATAAACAAAGAACTGAGAGGAAAAAAATAGGCACTTCCCAAATATGAAATATATAATCTTTAAGAAGCAAAATTTTAGCATTAAACATGTCAAAGCTCACAGGGACACTGTCCCTGCCTTTTTCCACCAAATTCACAATTCTGGCCCACAAAATGCAAGTGGCAGCCAGTCTCTGATTTAGCCCAGGCCTGGTCATCTAGTAGTAAACCCATAAAAAGCCATCTTGAGAATGGTGGGAAGAAAGTTGCAGCAGGGGTGTATGGCCAAAATGAATGACAAATTTGTAATTTCTGTGGCCTCTACCTTTCCATATGACCATCAGAGTTCATGGTTTGTGGTTTTAGGCATATCTGATTGCAAAGAGATCCCTAGAGGTTAAGCCAAGCTCAGGAGCTTGGCATTCAACAAGCTAAGTTATCTGTAATTCTAAACAGCTCCATGGAATATCACAGGGGTCTTGTTTCTTCTAGAATGAAAAACTGGAGCTTAATTGTGGTCCCTTCACAATTAAGGGACTTTCTGGATTAAGGAAGAACTCCTTTGGGAATGATATTGTGGTTTCTGAATGTTTATTCATGTAGAGATGTGAAAAAACACCATCTCAAACATAAACATATAGCACCCTTCATTCAATTGGCTGGTCCTTCAGCTGCTTTTTAAAAAAGGAAGTTCAAAAAGAGCCTGGCACATTCTGCTGTCTAGTTTTCAGATTTTTGATGATTTGAAAGCTGACACCAACCTTTTCTTATACTTAATTTTTTTGCCCAAAAAGAAAAGGAAAGGAAAAGAAAAAGGAAGATGATGAAGAAGAAGAAAAAAGACAAATATTGTACATACCTCTAAAGTTCCCTTCCTAACCCTTCACCTTCTCAGGTGCTATGGTGACTTTTATCATCCCCCTTGTATTTCCCTTCATTTGTTTTCTTTGCCTGGCAATAAACCCAGTTTAGTGAATATCCTATATGTGCAGGTTAATGGAATATTCTGGCTTGATTCCATTCAAACAACTTGCACAATGGAATTATTTACCACTTCATATGTTAATTTATGTACTGGGTAAAATTTTGCTTTTATCCAAAAGGGATGAAAATCTGCCAAGATGGCTTATCTAATAAATGCATTTTATATTCTTTCACCTTAGGGAAACCCCTTAAGCATGAAATTCTTGAGAGACCTTATTTCTAAAAAGACAATCAATTTGAGTGTGGCAATGACCTTTTTCAGAGATGTAGCATACTTATAAACATGTAAGTTCAGCCAACCTTCTCACCTGAGCCCCAAAGGTAATAGATGGAAAGATAAATCTAGAACTAGTCTCTCCAAAGATAAAATTAAGGTATTATTTCTCAGAAAAGCCAGTGTACTATGAAAATATATCATTTCCTCTTCTGTCAAATGTCAGTAGGGCAATTGTGGTGAACATGATATCTTTTTGGCCAGGAATGCTTTATTAAAGAATTACTTGTGCTTTCCACAAGGAAAGTAAAGTAAGATAGAGTAAAAAGTTCAGTGAACAGGATGGTAGGTAGTCCAGTGTTAGACTCTTGGTCTTGACACTTAATGCTGTGTAACCATGGGAAAGCTTATTTCTTTTCCTGAATCTGTTTCCCCTATGTTCTTTTGACTGTCTCCATATGGTGACACTCTAAGGCTTCACTAACTCTGGGTGAATAATTTAGATAGCTATGGACATGATGCTACTATCATTCACAAAGTCTAGGATATTGGATCTATAAGAAGCCTCTGAGTTATGGCTTCTTCAATTTATAGAAATCAAATTAGCCCTCCCTTCCCCTCTAGAACATATCCTCTACTGCAAAGACTACACCAAGTGTTGTCTCATGACTCCTAGGCAACTTTAGCATCTACCACGTTACTTCACAAACATGTAAAAACAACAATCAGTCAGTATAGAGAATTTCAGAACTAGAAAGGTTCTTAAACCCACTCTCTTTTTTTCTGGAGATGGGAAAACAGCTTAGAAAGGACCAGCGCTTTTCCCAAAGCATCACTATACAGAGGCCTAGTTGGTGAGAGCCATAGTTTCTTAAAACCTTGTTTAGGTATATTTTCTTCATTCGAGGCTATAGTTACTAAATACATTCCAAGTTAAGGTTCTGCCATTACACAACATAGCCTTGTTTCCAATTAGACACATAGTTATAAGAATTGCCCTAAGGAGCCTGCCATCTTTTGTGGGCTAAAAGTCTGCTCAGGAATTCTAGTTAAAGGTCAGGAAGAAAATCCCTATCTCAAATGGAACTGTAGATTTTATATATATATTCAATATTACCAATTCTGAGATTATAGGAAAACAAGGCATTACTAGAAATAAGAGGAGAATTACAAAAACTTTGTCATCAGGGTAAGAAGACTGTATATCTCCTTCTGAGCTATTATGGCTAAATTTTCAAAGTAGGGGTACAATCCCTGGTATAAAATGTGTCAAAATTTAAGCAAACAATGATTTGGTAGCTTTCTTCTCAAAATCATACTCTGAGTATAATGTCTATGCGCATTTCACAACTTTCTGATCTTTAGATAGCAGTAATTTTATAAGAAGCAAGATGATAACTAATAAAAATGGTTTGTATTTTGTAAGGCACTGTCCAACTAGCAAATATTGAGTGGTAGTATGTATTATAATGCATATTGTGTACCGTTAGAGACTTCTTATTTTTTAAATGCTAATTAACCCCCATAACAATTTTTTAAAACTTCTTTTGTAGAAATAGTAAAGTTAATAGAAAATAAGATAAAGACTTTAACCAAGTGTCATCAGATCATTGAGTCAAGAACTACTAGTGGAATAAAATAAAAAGAGGGAAGAGAAACAGCATTATCCTTGTTACTGGTCCAAAATTCATGCTTCAAAGGCTAACCTCAAAATGTCAGAGTTTGGAGTAAGAAAAGGCTTATTGATTGAGACAGCATCAATCGAGAGAATTGGAGACTTAGTGGTGCCTCAAATCCATCTTAAGAAAGTACAGAGTTCAGGCTTCTTTTATGTCAAGGGGAAAGCAAATGGAAGAGGAAAGAGTTGATTGATGACTGCAGATATCTGGGTGCCAGCAGTGGTTCAAGCAAGATTGTGTTTAGTTTATTGACCCTGGTTGGTATAAATGTGGTCAAGAGATACCTGCAAATCTTTGATAAACAATACATATTTCATTTATCTCCTTGGGACAGACACTTTCTGGTAAGGGGTTATTTTTGTAAAACTCAAGCAAGCACAGTTCCCCCAATGATTAGCAGTTCTACATGCAAGAAGTTATTTACCTGAAGGCCATGGAAGTAAAGCAGGTTTGAAGATGATGGAGTCAGAGAGGTTGAGCATTTCTCTCTCTTACAATTATAACCTATTTGTTTCCACTTTCTAAAGTCAAGGAAACCAATTGTATTTGGCCTCCATTCCCACTTCTTACTCTTCA